CACCTGGGGTTCTTAAGTTGAATCTGTATGTAAGTCAGAACTGGCATCCAGATTCAGCCGCGGTTGAAACTGATCAGTTTCAGCAGCGGCGGACGCCAGTTCCGACTTATATACAGATTCAACTTAAGAACAAACCTACAATCCCTATCTTGTACATAACCCGGGGACTGCCTGTATAAGCCTTTTCTGCACTACAAGATTTTAAATAACATTTATTCAAGATAGAAGTTATATATAGCTATGTCCTTGAAGACCACTAAGGGTGCTTGTACACAGCACTGTTATTTGGCGGACGCCAGTTCCGACTTATATACAGATTCAACTTAAGAACAAACCTACAATCCCTATCTTGTACATAACCCGGGGACTGCCTGTATAAGCCTTTTCTGCACTACAAGATTTTAAATAACATTTATTCAAGATAGAAGTTATATATAGCTATGTCCTTGAAGACCACTAAGGGTGCTTGTACACAGCACTGTTATTTCGAAATAACTGACGTTATTTTGAAATAATGCGGGTGTCTACACAGCATTTCCATTATTTTGAAATAATTTCATAACAACAGATGGCTTATTTCAAAATCTGTAAACCTGATTCCATGAGGAATAACGCTTATTCCGAAATATTTCGGAATAGCAGTAGCATGGGCACTCCATGGCTGCTATTTCGAAATAGTTCCTCCCCAGCTCCATTCAAAGTAATTACTCCCCAGTGCCTCCTGGCACTCTAAATTGAGCTAGCATGTCCACATTAGGGGAGCCTGCCTCAGACTAATTTTGAGGCTTCCCTGGAGTGTAGACCTGCTATTTCGAAATAAGCCCTTTCAGGGGCGGAGGGGGAACAGGGCTGGCTTTGGGCCGATTTGCCTGATTCCCCTGAATTAGTCCCTGCGCCTAAAAGGGCCCCAAGCCCTAAATCCGGAAGTGTGCTGGTGTGCCGGATGCGCTGCGGGAGGGGGTGTTGGCCCTGGAGGAGCACAGCGGCTTGTGTGTGCCGCAGGAGGAGTGAGTCAGCCCCTGGGTTTGGTGGGAAGGCGGGATTCTGCCCTGTAGCTGGGCATTTAAAGGGGCTGTGACTTTGGTGTGTGTGTGCTGGTTTTTTTGCTCAACCAAAATTTGTGTGTGGTTTGTTTGTTTGTTTGGGGTTTTTTTTTTTTTTTTTGGTCAACAAAAAATCCTAGCTGCCGGGGCCTGTCAAAATGGTTCGAATTGGGCCCCGCACTTCCTAAAGTCGGCCCTGAGGGGGGAATTCCAAAATAGCTTATTTCAAAATAAGTGTGCTGTGTAGACGTACCCTAAGAAACTTCAGTGGTGCAAAATATGGCAGCTCGACTGGTTAATAGGGCAGATTATTGGGGAGCACATTCAACTATAACCTCTTTGGGGCAGTGCCAAGCAAAACAAAGCCCCTAATCCTTGCTCTGTAGCTGGAGCATAAACCTTTCCCCTGACGTTTCTCCTCTTTTTTTACTTCTCTTTATTTTGACTCTGTTCCTAAAATGAAAAACACTCGTTAAGTAGCTAAGCCTCTTTCCTGTGTACACAAGCTAACTATGGAGGAGAAGCAGGGAACTAGCTCTCTCTTCTTCTAAAAGGAGAGAGAGGGCTGCTTCCTCATTCCTTTGCTTGGGTAAGCAGCGCTCCCCCACAAGTCCCATCCCTACTTGACTGGTGTAGTGAGTCTTCCCCATCCTGTTTCAGTCCCACAAAGATTTTGAAATAACCTAGCCTGCTTTGTATTAGGCCTGCTCCTCCCCAGATGATGTCCTTCCTTATGAAAAACAGTGGATTGAAGGAACCCCAATCAAAATAACACACACACACACACACACACACTTTACAGCTAGTACCAGGCCAAACAAAAGAGACAAAAGTTGCCCAATACAGACAATTGCCTGGCTGCTCCCTGCCTCAACAAAGAGAGCTAATAAATTCATTTAAAAGGCAAGAGAAGTTCAAATTGAAAGCTTTGCTCCCAAGCAAAAGCTAGAATTACAAAATGTTTATGGCTCTAGAAATGAGCACAAAAGAATGTGTTCTGCAATCTTTTCCTGGACAAGGCCTTGCTGTAAAAGAAGGCGGCATTAATTTACAAGCCTTCATCTGATTTCTGTATTATTTCAAGCACTGCTTCCCCTGCCAAGTTGTTTCTCTGTTTAAGGACAGATACTAGGACACTCTACATTCTTATACTCACAGCATGAGACTTGCCTGACCACTGCCCTTCCCCCACAGAAAGAAGGGTTCAGCCAAAAAATATTTCAAGGCAAAGAAGGCTAAGCGCCTCTGCAGCAGATCTGGAGTCCCTGGACCCTAACTCAGGCTCTATGGCAGTACAGATGTGCTAGGGATCCCCTTAAAGAGGGGAAAGATTCACCAGTATAGAGGGCTTGCCAGGGAAAGTAA